AAGTCCTACTTGCGTTACTAATGAGTGATCAATAGATCGCAAGCTGGCTACTTGATTGAGCGGGTCCTCTGTATGAGAGGTCCACTCCGATACCAAACTGTTGCATACCATATAGGTGCAGACCAGAACAAGAACCGACCTTTCAATACAAGGTATAAGATAGCACAGCGGAAGACTCAGATACTAGTGATCCGAACAATCAATGTTGTAATGCAGCCCTGAACAAACATCATCATCATCGTTTCATAGTGTGAATGGGTCTGGCGCTTCACACAGGAAGACAGCGCCAGCCCAGAACATGCACAGACGAGGAGATCCAATGTCGTCAAGTCTCAAGTCACAACTCTGTCTCTCTCTGTCATAGTCTGAGAAGTCAGGTGGCGAGAGGGTGAGAAGAGAAGGTGGACTTAGAAGAGGAAGAAGAAGAACTATCTCTCTCTCTGTGTCCAGTACTAACCTGTGAAGTTGGCGCCTTGATGCAGGTACCACGAAGATGGAGCTGGAGCGATGGCGCCACAGGTAAGTAGCACTGGCCTCCGCCAGTCTCTCTCCACTCTACGATCTACTACCTACCAGCGCCCAGCGCTGAAGACTACAGCTACAGCTATGGCGCCCAGCGCCGAAGACTACAGCTAGCGCTACCACTACTGCCTAGCACTGAAGACTACTGCAGCGCTCCTCCTGAGTGCTGCGGCCCAATCCTGAAGACTACCTCTGCCTACTGACTCTACCTCTCCGTGAAGTGCATGGGAACCTCCTATGTACTACGGGTGTGCCTCTTGAGCCTGCCGAAGGGAGGCAGGGGCTGCAGCTGCAGCTCCTGCTCGAGTACGTGAGGAACAGGCTATTTTGGGACTGTTCCGCATCCCTGTTTCCGTGGCTGAGTCTTAGGAGCAGGTCGAAACAATGAGGGCCTGAAAATGGCCCTCCGTTTCAGGCTGAAAACTCTGGGTCTGAAAAGACCCAGAAATAGGCTGAAACGAGGTAGGGCCTGCAGGCCCTCGTTTTTCAGCATCCAGGCTGAAATGAACGGGGCCTGTAAGCCCTAAGTTTTAGGCTTTTAGGCTGAATGTCCGGGACGGGCCCTGTAGGGCCCGTGTGGCTACGCAGTATGCCACACCAAGCACTTAGGATTGGAGGCCATCCCCAATGACAATACCCCCAGATGGCCATAACAACCCCAAAAAGCACAGAACTACCCCCAGATGTTCATTCAAGGTTCGGCTATGGAACTACCCTTCTTCGCAGTTTGAAAGAATGACCACACTTCTCAGGGCAACAACAGGTCACTGCCCAAGGCCACGAGTGCCAGGGCAGAGCTGCTCGTCTCATCATTTGCTACTCATGCTTGCCAGTGATAAGCAACCGGACTGCGCCGCGCGCTCCCCGCCCCCCCCCCCCCCCCCGCCCCCCCGGGAACAAAAGGGGCGTGAGTGTGTTCGAGGTTGAAATAGAGAAAAAAGAAAGAAAGACTGAACTTTGTACTCAAAATGTAGAGTATACAGCTTGTTTTCGGGTCTGTGAGCCCAACAAAGGCAGTATTTGATTGATGAATGGTAGTATATATTCCATATTCGAACTACCCTTCTCCAGGAGGACTTTCATAGAGGACTGAGTCCGACTGACCGATCATCTTTGACTTGCAGCAATGACGGAATAAAAGCAATTGGTAATCGACCCATCATGTCATCATCTTAGATAAACAGAAAATACCAATAAGTTCAGTTTGACAGAAAGTACGCACGATAAGAAGTTCAGATGTACAGAACGTAAGCATGGAGTCCTTGTCAAGGCAATTAGCAATGACCACATACATGCAGCCAAAATGAGCTCCCCCCCCCCGCACCCCCCCCAAAAAAAAGAAGAAGAACTCTGCATGTGTGCAATAAGCCGCTGCTCGGTAATCACCTTCTCACATGGCAACGAATAGATGAGCACAATGATGACGATAGCCACACCACAACGAGAATGACAAAGACAGCCATGACATCATGGCAGACATGGGATACGAAAATGCATATGGGATCGTAAAGACGACCCCCTCCCACCCCCGGCCCCCAAATCCCTTTTCAGCCCGATTACCTTTCCTTTCGACTGCATGATATCTTCAATCTTCTTGTAACAGCTCTTGCCAACAGCCTGCAGACCATCTCCTCCCACCTGAACATCCACTTCATCTGCACTCCTCTGATTGCTGCGCTCCATCTGCTGTTGAAATTCTGAAATGCGCTCCTCTAAATGCGCCTTCGCTTCAACAAGCCATAATAAAAAAACCCAACAGTTTGAGAGAAATTGAGTTGGAGAATCCATTCCTTTTTTTTTTTTTTTTTTAATTTGGACCATTTCTTGATTTATGTGTGTCATCCTTGCGCAGGGGCCATGCTAATCTTCTCTGTATCGTTCCAATTTTAAAGGAGAATCCATTTCTAAGCTCACACTTCACAAAGTTCACATGCTTCAAGGTACAAAAGGAGGAAACACCTACACTTGCACTTCACATACTTCAACATTAGGGTTCTGCACTGATGATGAACCCAGAGGAAAAGAAGAATGAGGTGCACAATCGCTGGATGGACGCAGACCTAGGAAGGGACCGCTATGATGAAAGTTCATGAAACTAACACCCAAAAAAATGGAGGCCAAACGAATCGGATCACGACTGCCTTCGGCTACTGCCTGCGTACCCACCCAGCAATAGACTTTGAAGCTACGCTGTTAATTGGGTGGCCTGCACCAGCTCTCGATGCCTGCGTCCTTTCCCCCACCCTCCCCCCCCTCTCCGCCCCCCGGGGCGGGTTCACGCAGGCTCCTGATCAGTCCTGGCTCAAATGGTAAAAAATATGAAAAATATGAACAACAATCCCTGAAGAAGAAGAAAATGTTGTTGCTGAAGTGCAACTTGCAAACAAGTTTTGGCTGAGGGTCAGCTTGATATTCGTCACTACTTTTGAAAACAAGAGTCCGGATATACCCCTTTTGAACTCCTCAAAACAGAGGCTTTTTTCCAGTGACCTTGCACCCCCTAGTCTTTTTGTTATCGGACTCGAGCCCAGTATAGCCATGACTTGTTCACGTGTCAACCCTAGAGTCATATTTTTCTCCAACAAAAAAATGAATATGCGTCTTATGGCAAATTTGTACACAGATTAGATATAGTTTTGAAAACCACCTTGGGTGACCATTGCCAGATAGAATGGCTCAGGCCATGCGCAATCCTGCCCTACAGGCAGATTCTTTTTTTCTTATTCTTGCCTCCTTGTGACTGCTGGTAGTACAGTGGATTACTCGGACATGATTCTCGTACGGTCATTCATTTTTCATCGTTGTAATAAATTGATTATTTGCACAGGAGGGAACAGAGGGAGCTGACATTCGTTCAGACTTGTGTTGCAAACTTGTGATTGCACACGGGGAAGGGAGAAGAAGATAATGTTGGAGAGAACAGAGGGAGCTGACATCCGTTCGCACTTCAAACTTGTGTATAATTCTTCTTCTTCTTCTTCTATCCTTGTACATTCTATTCTACTCCACTCTGTCTCTTTCCACTTCTTTTTTCAGTTCAGCAGTCTTGCATTAACTCTAAGTTGAGTTTTGCATTGTCATTTTTAGAAAGGATCATGACAGACTATGTTTTGCACCTTACTCAGGAGACCCAGGCAGAAGCGTTGTGGCTGCCCGGCCCCAAATACCCAGCCAGAGCGACCCGGGTTTCTAGGTGTGTAGCCCTTAACATTATTCTCCAAACATGAATTGAATGAGATAATGATGTCCTTTGTGACATCCGTTAACATTAGAGCGGTACCAAGACGATTCCCATGGTCCCTGCGCAAAACAGAAAAAAAAAGGAGGTCATGATCTTTGAGTCGATATATAAATGCAGCCACCGGGCACGGCAGGCAGGTACACGTTCAGCTACCGTCCCGTAGTATCAAAAGAGGGCACACCTGATCAATCTTTGCGCGCTCCCGTGATTGTTGAGCATACGTCAACACCTGCAATGAGAATGCAAGGAGCAACAAACCGTTGTCCATTCAAGCTCAGAATGAATAGGGAGTCTCCATTTTCAATTCCAGGAACACTTTGGAATCGGACAGAAAAAAAAACACCACCAAATGATTGAACAGATAGGATCCATGTTTTCACACTGTCTTAATTTAGTTAATTTTGAATGGACATTAACATAAGAATCGGTGACCTGGCACCCATTGCGCTTCTGCCCTTCCTGTAAACAACTTCAGTTCCAGACTCTCCATCTACCCCTCCACACGCACACACCCCGTGCACGCGCACACACACCCGCACGCATGCACGCGCACAACCCCCCGCACGCATGCACGCGCGCACACACACACACACACACACACACACACACACACACTCTGATGTGCGCGCGTTGTTAAGTCTGCACTAGCCTATATTTTCTACATTCACCAATCATTTGGTACATTATCCCCTACAACTCCCTCATTTGGACTTATCCTTCGTCATTGATTCTGCTGTGATAGTCTGTATGATCAATAATGCAAGAAAACATGCTGCACACATCAATTGCATAACCTATCAAAGTCATTGGTTTACCATAAAGTCGGCTTCTGGAAAACGAAATCTGAAATTTAATGGAATTTTATATCCTCTGAGGCTAATGAGCACACAAAGACGATTGGATTGAGCCAGGTGAGGAGAGCACCTCGAATTAAAATAAACCCGACAAGGACCGAATGATGAAACTGACAAGTGGGTGATTCCGTAAAACCTCATTAAATCACGTACCATGAACATATGACATTACAGACTCATCTGTCAAAGAATTTGAACAGGCTTCTAAATGTTGATCGTCACACTCAAAATATTGAGAAATGAATCTTGATTGATGCATTTCTTAAGTTTGAATAGCTTCGAAACCTAGTTGAGTGTGCCCAAAGGGTCCCACATGCCTCTACATCATCATCAGCCATTCCTTGTTGAGCAGTACACAGCTCTAAATGCTTCCCCTGTCGAAGGCAACCAATAAGTTACATCAGAGAAATCAGAGAAATAATGACTCAACAAATGAAGAAGACGATGTCAGGAGTTCTAATATCATGGCAAAGACAACTTCCTCCCGTCAACACCTCGCCTTCCCCGCCAAGGCTCTCAAGTGTCTCAACCCTTCTACTCATTCGGCATCCAGATTGAGGTAAAGGGTATCTACTTCCACTGTCCTTTGACTATACCTTGCTCCTACTCTTCCCCACTCCATTATTGAAAAATAGAGGATTCATAAAATGACTTAATATTTGCAGCTGAGAAAAAACTGCTGATAAACGGTGTACTCATGAGGCGCGCAGCACGATCTGAGAAATCCCTCCCAGCTGTGATGTCGCTATCATATTCCAAATCCCCACCACGTCACTTGCCGCACGACAAGTCCTGCCAGCAGTGAATCCAATATGCCTTCACCATGATTTAGGAAAAAACGATTGTACCTGGTCATGTTCCTCCCCGTCCGGACCGGGACTGGACAGCCCGGTCCAGACCACATTCGCGGGCTGGCACCTGTGTGCCGGATCAGGGGCTTACCGCCCAGAAGCACAAACCGTACCATGTTCAGCACTCCATCCCAGAATGTAGACTTACTCCTGCGCTGCATCCATTGGAGCCCAGCAATCAGGGCTTTTCCCAGGTAATTGCTCTTCCTGAGCTCTTCGCTCAGGGTGCGCACGTTGCAGAATGTTGCAGAACGTCAACCCGTCCATATTGGAATTCACAAGAATTTCAGAGTGATCAGCTGAGTCGTGTTTGCGATAGTTGCAAATTTGGCCATCCTGGGCCCATACGAGGAAGAATCTTTGTGAGTGCGGAACTCCAGAGGCCTGTTGTCCCACACAGTCCCAGAATTTTTAAATTTATGGGACATCAGGAGCTGTAAGTTACGCCACCTTCTTCCCCTGTTGAAGGCAAGCAAGGAAAGATTCCACCATCATAAACAGGGCCCCTAAGCCTTCCATCGTAAACGTCACTGAATCGTTGATGACCAGGATGACAGAGAGGTTAAGGACAGTCAATCGATATGTCAAGCTATTTATCGTTGGGAGCATCAGCCTAGCATCTGTGCGGAAGCCCAGAAAGACAACAGGAAAGAACAAGAACTCCCCAGCGGATGGCGTTCGCACCAAAACAAGCAAGCTTCCCCACTACAATTCCTTCCTTGTCGGAGACCTCCACATTACCCGGGACCACCACTTTCAGCTCCTTGGTTAACGGGTCCAAAACTGAAATTAGGGTTTGGGGCTAGGCTAGCAGCCAGGCTGCCCGGGTCACCTTGTTTGCCCAGGCTGCCTGGCCGCGCAAGGACCATCGGAGGTCCCAGCCAAAAAAGAAAAAAAAAACAAGGAATCCAAACATTCTGCAAAAGAAATATGTTATGCAGAAAAATAAACTAAACAACCTTCGCCTCAGGGTCACATCGAAATTCTCCACCAAATTTAAAATAACAAATAAAATTAGAAAACAAGTTCTTTTTTCCTTTTTTTTTTTGGCCCGGCCGGGCAAGTGGTCCCGGGCCACTCTGGTAGCCTAGGTTTGGGGGTCAAATTTTGTGAGTTTTTTTTTGTTTTTTTGCCTGTTCTTCTGCTTTGGTTCAAAGTGCACTTTTGCCTTCCAGTTTGACAGATTTTTTTTTTTTCGTTTTTGTTTTCTGCAATTAGTTAATATGGTGTCAGTGGCAAGTTTGGTTACAACGACCCTTGGGTTTTGTTATAAATGGTGTCACAAATTGTCTGCAAATTTGGCCCTCTGTTAACCCCCTCTCGACCTCCTAGACTTTTCTTTCAGAATCACATCTGACAGGACCTGTTCCTAATCCTCTTGACAATCTCAGACTTCTCCAGTCACACACTCCCCTCGTCCATCGTCTCCTTAGGTCCTAAACTTGCAGGCTCCACTGATCCACATTTGTTTCTTTTCCGCTGGGCCGCTGGCTATAATGTAATATTGTCCATTGGGATCCGTCGATCAGCCCACTTCAACGCCATCCGATGTGAGCCACTTCCAATTGCATCATCCGTACAGACTGAGATGTTGCTCCTCTTCTCTGCCTCCTTAGCAGTTGTTGATCTCTTGTTCGACTGTCTCAAGGCCCTCACTCACCTGAGACTTACCCAAGTGCAAATCATTAGTCTTTCGAATCACTGACCACCATCCACCTCCTTGTTCACCCAAACTGCTCTCCCATCCGGTTGTCCCAGCTCCGAGCCGCACATCCTTCCCTTCTCCTTCCCATTCTTCTGCCTCGCTCAGAACAATATAAGAGTGTTGTGAATAGACTGCGCACCCTGAGCAGGCTGATTACCCAACAAAGGACTTCAATCTCATCTCCGCTTTAATTGATCCATTGGTTGATTCATTAGTCTTGTCTTGTTCCCTGCTGAAGTTCATGGAGTGGATACCTTGTTGTTGTTTAACACTGTCTATACGAGTGAGTGTGCAAAGGAATGGAATGACAGACACCAACAACAAGAATGATTGTGCACGAACAAGCTTTCGACCAACCACGGGCATATAGCATGCAAGGTAATGGTGAGCTCCGACCAATGACAAACCTGATGGATGAATGGCTCCATTGCATGTAATAGCTCATACCCCTGTTGTTGAGAGATCACAAAAGAGGAGCAGCATTACCACAAGCGCCAAAAGGTGTACACACAGAGAAACGAGCAAGCAAGGATGCAAAAGATGCTTGAGATTACGATTCACAAAGCCCGCCATAACGCTTGGAAAAGTGAGCGTTCCAAATCCACTTTTTCCATAACAACCCCTTAACCAAAACCACAAAAATTTGCCAGTAGTTCACTCACTAACCCCACCAAACATATTCCCACGCTCCCATTTCCTTTCCTCCCAGGCCAGGACGCCCTCAGCATCGATATAGCCGATCACAATGAGATGCACTATAGCACAACCACTTCTCAATCTTCTTGTGAAAATTGTGTGTTTGTCCATGCCTTGCTGAGCAAAGGCACATTGTCCTTGTAAGGTTGTCCTTATTGGCCACATGAAGGATCTGCCAGAAAAGCTAACGGCCAGGGGGTAGCCTGCAAATATATGTTTGATGATGAGGATTTGCTGGCAACCCTCGGAGACATAGGCCTCAAACATCCTGTACAGCTCTGTTGCCATGAATCTGTCTCCGGCCTGCTGGATAATATCGAACCTTACTTTAGCCCCTGTCGCACTGCTGATCATTGCGCACAAGAGAAGATACGCTTTTACCGCAATAATGGCAGAAGCCCCCCTGCACTGGCACCTGCTAGAAGGAGCTGAAGGGAAGCCAGTGGGTATACCGAAGAGCGACAAAAAAAAAGCACCAGTGCTTAGTACTGCTTACTGACGAGCCCCGTACAAGAACGGGGAGATCGGCGAGGAATTGAGGCCTCCACTTTGAAATCTGGCTTTCTTCTGTGTCCCTTTGCATGAGAGGTTCGGTAGGTGGTCGGTTAGTATGTACTATGTGGTTCATAAGTTCATAACACCTTTCCAGAATGGTGACACAACAATTACAACATTGCAGAGGGGTTCTAGCTGCAATCATGCCAGGCACAGAAAGGCATTCCCCCACAGCCCTAAACGCATCGTAAAGGAAGAAGAAAGCACCCCTGACAAAAGCGCCACAACTGAAAAAGACTGCTTTCCGTCATCATCCAACACCTTTCCCGTCTAAACGCATCGTAAAGGAAGAAGAAAGCACCCCTGACAAAAGCGCCACAACTGAAAAAGACTGCTTTCCGTCATCATCCAACACCTTTCCCGTCTAAACGCATCGTAAAGGAAGAAGAAAGCACCCCTGACAAAAGCGCCACAACTGAAAAAGACTACTTTCCGTCATCATCCAACACCTTTCCCGTCGATAAACGCAAACATTCGGCCCCTCCATACAAATTGAAAGACAACGTGAACGTGACCACCTAGTGTGGTATGCATGTCAGCCATGTACTTTAGAATATGTACTATGTGGTCCATAAGTTCATAACACATTTCCAGGATGGCAACACAACAAGTACAACATCGCAGAGGGGTTCTAGCTGCAATCATGCCAGGCACAGAAAGTCATTCCCCCACAGCCCTAAACGCATCGTAAAGGAAGAAGAAAGCACCCCTGACAAAAACGCCACAACTGAAAAAGACTACATCCAACGCCTTTCCCGTCGATAAACGCAAACATTCAACCCCTCCATACAAATTGAAAGACAACGTGAAAGTGACCACCTAGTGTGGTATGCATGTCAGCCGAGTACATAGAGTTTGGGACTGGCGTGGGACTCATTTGGGATGAAGTACATTGAGTGTGGGATGTGTGTGGGACTGGTGTGGGACCGCTGTGGGACTGGTGTGGGACTGGTGTGAGACTGGTGTGGGACAAATTATTATGTCATAAACAGCATGCAAACAGGATGAGGTTCCCACATTGGTCTGAGACTCTGATGCACAGCAATGCCAATCATGTCACATTCCAATTATGTCAACTGACTCAACCAATAGAATTATGCATGTCACTTCCAATTAGCATAAACAATGTTTGTTTGGTTGTGCTTGCTACCAAGATAAAACTTGAGCAAAGCAATGCAACTGCCCAACAACATTTTCTCTTTCTCTTTTCACGAGCACCCACCTGCTTAAAATAGCGCAGATGAGCATCCATTGATGCACTCACTGCCTCCAGGAACTCGTACTTCTTCATAGCTTCAATCTTTGACAGTGCTTTCACCTGTCCAGCCACAGAACACACGGAATCAACACAGGGCATGAAAAAACATGATTCCCGGACCTAATGAAGTATGCACGCACTACATATGCGACTGACAAAAATTTGTCTTCCGAGAGACCCTTTTCTCTTTTTCAAGGGTATTAAACGGTAACCACCATTTTTTTTTTTTTGAAATAAGACCACACTTCAATCTATACAAGGGAGCTAAATCGACCAACCCAAAAAAGCATGTTGCCGAGCCTACAATCTACAGTGCAGGCCTTTGGAAATATGAAGGTCGTAGCCCTTTCCCACCGAACCTCTACAGGAGGGCCTCAGCACTGTACATTTTGCCCCGGTACTCGTCGGTGAGTAAAACCTACAGTGCAGAGGCCATTGGACTGGTCGTTTCACTCCTGAAATGACCATTTTTTTCATAATCTCTGATGCCATATGGATTTGAGCTTACGACCTGTTTCCACAGCAGTGATGAAATATAAAAATAAAAATGAACAGACCTTTCGGTGAATCAATGAATGAAAACCCTACTCAACGGAGCATGAATCGGCAAGGAGCGGGGCAGGGGTCTGTCAAAAACAGATAGACGCATATCACAGGGACAACCTGTTTTATCGGCCTCCTGCCCATGGGGGGTTTCAACCTAGACAGTCTGTGTATGTTTGTGTGGCGAGGTGGGCACACGAGCATGAGTCTGTGTGTTGTACTGCTAATGGGGGGGCAATGCCACAAGCACAGGCTCTCTGTCAAGTGCAAGATTCCCCATGTCCGAGGCCATAATCACATGAGTTTCCAGGATAAATCCGACCGCTTTTACAGCCAGGGGTCCACGGATCAGTCGAAAAAGTCCTACCGGTAGTGCGAGTATCCCCTGAGTGACGCAGGAGTGAGTGCAGATCTTCTTCATTTATCACCTTTCTTCCTCGCGTCCTTATCATTTATCGCCACCTTCCTTCCTCGTCCTATATCAGCTTCATCCCGACTTTACAGCTCACCACAGACTTAACTGCCTACCTTCTTCACCCAAATAGAACACACAGTCAGGTGTTAAGGGCAACTTTCAGTCTAGACACAGTGATAATGACTGTGCATTATATTCGGATGAAGGTCGTAGTGTGCTCCACTGTCCTGCCTGCACAGTACCTATACGCTACTACCAACTGTGACAATCCAGTCACGGACTGTTCCACAAGCAAATGTGGCATGGTCTGCTCACCATCAGGAAACACCCACTGACCAAGATGGATGCAATACCAAATCGAAAGGAACAAATCGGAAAGAGGAACAAAAATATTAAAATAATTCATTTCTCCAAGATCGGTGTTCCCAATTTCTGTCATTCATGTTTCCTAAAATGTACGTCAAGTTCGTCGTCAACAAATTGAACCTGCATGTGTACCTTTGTCGTACATTTCATGAACCTGCATGTGTACCTTTGTCGTACATTTCATGAACCTGGATGTGTATCTTTGTCGTACATTTCATGAACCTGCATCTGTATCTTTGTCGTACATTTCAGTTTCTCAAGGGTCAGATTGGACCTACCTTCTTCCCCCCAATACAACGTACAGTCATTATAGCTATAGCTGTATTTGAGGCATCTTTTAGTCTAGATACCAGCTATAATGACCGTACTTTGTATTCGCAGGAAGAAGGTAGGCAGACAGGGGTGGCAATCGCTGTCTCGCATACCAGATTGAAGCGTGACTCCTCAAACTGGGACCTTGCAGTTCGCAACTCCTTCTCCCCGTAACAGACGAACAGACATCACAAACGGCAGATGAAAACATCAAACAAGATATGCAACATTTTGTGAGCACTCAAATCCCCTTTCCACTTGCTGAGCCCAAATGATACAGTGGCAAAGCTGTTCTTCTTTTTTCTCCTGCCTCCCCTCCTAGCGCATCTCCTTGCATCTCTTTTCGATGGCACCTACACTGCGCCATCAGGAACCAATGAAATTGAACAAAGGCTGCTTCCAAAAACAAACGCACCGACGCACGTGCTCACCGGCCCCGTGCCTACTTTCGAGATCACAATATGTGAGAAGGCACATAACATCTACGCATGTCACACACAGGCACACAATCTCCTACAACATCAGAGAATGATGTGTTGCAAGAATCGGATGGCTGTAAACGCCCCAACTTGCAGCTGTTCCGACCTCCCTGTCCCCATGTTCGTCGCGGCTACAACCTCGCCTCACTTCACTTCCCAGAGAGTTCGCATGTGTTCAAGCCAGGATCTCTGCATGCTGAACCTGGACACCCTACCATAACATCCACCATCACAAAAAAGTTGAAAAAACGAAAATGACAGCAGGAGCACCAGAATCCCGCACATTACCATCTATCCCGAAGTGAGACCTGAAATGAAATCCCAATGGATCTCAGCTAAACTCCACTTAAGCCTGACGAGTTAAAACACCACTCTACCCGACACCCAAAAATGGCAATCCGGTGAGTTAGGAACGGGATTTTAGGGGGGGGCGCCAACTGGCAGGCACAGCCCGGTTCAGTCCCACAATTTTCAAACGCCAACTTCGGCGATTTTCCGCACCCAGAAAAATTAAAAAAAGAACTGAAAATTTGAGATCCTGTAGATTAGGTCGTGATCTTTCCGGGAAAAATATCAGAAAAAGTCTGAAAAAGTTAGAAAAACGAAAAATAAAAAACTCTTAGACCATGAAATAAATGCCGTGCCAAGTTGCCAACATTTTTCATTTTTGCCACTCTACAATGTGTGGGCCAATGGAAAAAGTACCCCAACCTCCACGATCTTTCGCGCTCAGAAGAATACCTTGAAAACTCTGAAAATTGGAGAGTTCGCAGATTTGGTCATGATCTTTCAACGAAAAACATTTTTACAGTTTTTTAAAATCCTTTAGGCGGTGAAATAAATGCCACGCCAATTTGTCTCATTCTCGATTTTGCCACTCTACTACTTGTGCCAACAGCAAACGTACCCCAATTTCAGCGATTTTTCACGCTCAGAAGAATTCATTAAAAAAATATGAAAATTGTAGGGTCAGTACATTTGGTCGTGATCTTTCAGGGAAAAATATATAAAATTAAAAAAAAAATCGTTTCAAACACGAAATAAGCGGTGGCGGCAATTCGTTGGATTTTCCAGTTTTGCCACTCTGCCGGGTCTCCACACTATGCTACCAGTAGCCCCCATGAACCTGTGCTACCGGTCCCCCGACTTTCCAACGCCGGGCAGAGTGGTGGTTGAAGCCTGAGTTAGGCACATTAGTTGCTACACCTCAGTTAAGCCAGAGTTACCTGAGTAAAACCTGAGTTAAACCTGAGTTAAACACCCATCAACTGCATCATCGCAAATTTAGGTGTTCTGCGATGCAAGCATACACAAGCAAGTTCAAAAACAGGGAAAGGGAAAAACAGACGATTCCTCAGGCCATGCATGGGCAGATGCTCAGAGTCCTGACAAAAGATATGGCAGCAACGAGAATAAATCGAAATCACATTTGTATGCTCGCTCATTTTCTTTTCTTTTCTTTTCTTTTTTCTTTTTTCTCTTTTTTTTTCTTTCTTTTTTTTTAAAGCCCAGGTTGTTGTAGAGGTGGGATACTAGACGGACTGCGCCATATTCAGATAGCACAAGGTTCTGCACTGCTGCCTCTCGTAGGAGTCTGGGCTGCATCTCTGTACCAGTGTGGCTGCGCATCCGGAAAGACCAGCTATGCATCATCGGCTATGTCAGCCTTTACGTGGCTCGAAAGAGTAAACAGAACGAGCTGAGAGACTGGATTTGGGAACTGGTTGAAATCCTGCCATTGCATGGTTTCTTAAACCACCAGTACATCCGAAAAAGGAGATTGTGCGAGGAACAAGCTTTCAAAGGGCCCTATCAGACATCGCATGATCTGGGCTAAGGCCCCCACCAACCCAAGCGCCCGCCGTAAGTGAAGGCGGGCCTGAATATTCGTCAGAGGCAAAATTCGACATTTCCATATGTGGGTGGCCCCCAGCAAGCCAAGTGCCCGCCCTAAGTGAAGGCGGGCCTGAATATTCGTCAGAGGCAAAATTCGACATTTCCATATGTGGGTATTCAGGCTCTCGAAGCACGCCAGTTGGTTGGGTAGACGCGTGAGCCTCAGAAAGCTGTGTCATACAGTTGGCCCAGGCCTTGACAGTTGCGCCTGGGCACATACACACAAAGCAGGGCCGATACACTGGGAGGCAGGCCATCGGCCTTTTGAAAAGCAGTACCGCCGACGCACCTGCCTGGGAGCCCTGCACAGATGCAGCAAACAGCCCAAGTCCGGAGACTCAGGCCGTGCCCAACTGAAAAGGGCCCAGGCCCTCAACTGTAGTCTCGGGCCTGGGCCCAGGGTCTGAGGCCCAACTGGAGGCTACTGGAAGCTTCCTTCCAGGCCACACGCAGCATCCAGGAGGCTGCCACTTCCACAAACGGAAGAGAGCAGCCCAGGCCAGGCATTCTGGCCAGTGCAGGCAATGCGGAAGTGCTGCTGCGCTATCGCTTGATGCTGCGCTGCTGCCAAGGGCACTGACGGGGCACGTAGTGGTGAAGTGGGGCGCTGCAGGGCAGCGGGGCGTAGGCGGCCATAGCCGGGCTGCTGGGCGCCAGGGGGTACAGCGGGTGATATGGTGGTCTTCAGGGAAGGAGGCGCAGTGTGGGGTAATCAAGGTCTGATTGAGGCCGACGAGATACGTACCTGGTGCATGAAGAGAGGTCGGCTATGGAGTTGACAGTCATCTACACTGGTCTTCAAGAGTCGAAGTGAGCCTGTTGCGTGAACCAGCTGTAGGTAGGATAGTCGAGCAGAGTAGGTTGGGCACTGGGCATCAGACAGAGAGGAGCGACTTTGGATACTGTGTTGGTGTGGCCTACGGGCATGAACATTGGCTCATTACTTAATTGTATTGTCTTTATGGATGTTTTTTCGGTGCATTTGTACTCTCTGCTTGGATACGACTACTTGGACATCTGTGTGATTTCGCAACTTGGTTTTCTGTATATCGTTCACACTCATATTCCTTGCAATTGAGCCTCTGCTATAAAAAATAGGAGGTCACGAACCGCGGATTACCTTTAGAAACGGTCCATGGCCTACGAATTTTTCGAAGAGGCTCAATCTGCATTTTCGGATGTACTGGTGGTGTAAGGTATTTCGCTGCCATAGCAAAGACCTTCTTTAGCCCATGAGTGGCCCGTGAGCGAAGCTTGATGGTAACCCAACAGGATTCTCACCTGCTCTACATCGCGGACAATCTCCGGTTTTGTGTCCTTTCTGAGCCCCAAGAACCGCTCCCTGACCTGTGTTGTGAAGGCAAGTTCCATCACACAGATTCACAAAGAAAACAAACAGGCATCAGTTGAGCCGCCTACTGTGTCCAATTCCCAGACAAATAACAAAAAACACTTGACGTGCAATGATGGCTCTTCGAAGGAGTTCTGTTGATTGAATCTACAACCTCTCAAAGAATCAAACCGACAGGCAGACCTGTGAAAATAGCAAATACGTTTCATGAAATAAACCGATACATGCAGGCAAATGGTAAACAGACAGTTCACTACAGCTCTTCCCTTCACAGTGGGATAGATACCACCAGCCGTCCTTCAAAGTGTCCCCACATTATGACGTCCCGTGCCGCCAACATGGCCACCCTCAATGCTGCCAGCCCCCCTTCAATCGATCCCCACAGTATGGCACACCCTCGAAACTATATGCCTCTACATAATATTTCTCCTCTAGGGTATACAGTGATAATTGCCACTGTTATCTCAAGGACATGTACCAGCCAGCCAAAGGCAGAAGCACAGCGACTCCATCCCACGCTTGCCCCTTTATTCCACGCAACGAGAACACGAGATATAGTTATTTTTCCCTGGCAGTAACTTCAGGTGATTTGAAATCTGTTTTCCCTTCCTTTTTTCATGGTTCCTATGTCTCTGTTCCTTACATCTGATAACCAAATCTTCAGACACACACATCAGCTCGGCGATCCATCAGCTCTAGCTTTGATCACCAATTGCACAAAGCAGAGGCCAGGCAGCAGCATAACAAATTACTACACAGTGTACCGACACGTCACGGCCGTGTTCTCACCACAGTCCTCCACGCTTTGTAAGGCGATGGATCTCCTACACCAGAGACACAGGAGAAATAGCTGTGGTTCAACACTATCGGGCCGTACTTGGTCGAAGTTGCGGCAAAGAAGGTCATCCAACTGACAACACAGGCTTTGAGCATTTGCTCTCTCCCCCTGCTAGCATCTTCCGCCCAATAGAACGTACGGTCATTATCACTGTAATCTAGACTGAAAGTTGCCCCAAGTACAGCTATAAAGAGCATACGTTTTACTCCCCGGACGACGATGGTATCCCCCCTGTCCAGATTTTTACCAAAACTCTCAATCAAAATTGACACTGGCAATGCAACCATGAAAGGACCAAGGGAAAGCACAGGCAACAGTGAGAGAAAAGTACAGTCAACACACCTGATCATAATGGAGGCTCGCCTTATCAAACTTTCTCCTCACCTCCTGTCCACCAAAGAAAAATACAAGAAAATGTGTCATACAGGGTGATGAAAACGGAAATGGTTGGGGTCACACATGTAATACGTGACACGTCACATGTGACACAGAACTCGAAGTGTCGCACATGTGACAGGGAGTAAAGAAGCAAAAGCTTGAAACTAAAATGTGTGAAAGAACTACAATTGTGCAAATGACACAAGGTTCACCCAGGAGCAGTTCAAGGCACCCTCATAGACCACTGACCACAACTGACTATAGGTTCCCTGAGTCCCAAATTCTTGCTGCATAGCAAACCTTTGTTCCTTGTTTTCGTTTCTTCTATTAAAAAAAAAAAAAAAGAAACAGCTGTCTTCTCCTCATGAGGAGGACAGCTTTTTTTCTTTTCCGACTCCCTACGTTCTTCTCTCAATACGTCTCTCAATAACTACCCATACCTATGTCCAACCCACAACCCCGACGAGGCAGGATGTCGCTACCTATGGATCACGGAGAGAGGCAGTATCAAGGGGGTAACCAATCTCCGAACCCACCCAGTTGACAATGCAACAGACTCCAACAGTGTAGCGATACCCCTACGGCCCGGCAGTGAGACCGGACCAGTTTCAGGCCGTCGGCCTGACCCTGGTCCGGTACCAGGTTGTTTCTCGTACCTGGACCTAGGCCGGTATATCACTTTGGCCTAGGCCCAGGTCCGGCAGTCAGTTGGTTGATTCATTCTTTGATTCGTTCGTTCATCGAGCCGGACTGGACCTTCACTCAGCTGCTGCTGCTCGTGTGTGTCCATCTCCTCTCTCTCTCTCTCTCTCTCTCTCTCTCTCTCTCTCTCTCTCTCTCTCTCT